TGGCAATCCCGCCAGTCCCGGACACGTCTGCACTGCTGGCAACGGTGACAATAGTACTGATGGCTCTGACGATGCCAGCTGCGTTGCTGTTGGCCATGGACCTGTTGTCGTCCCTGGCTCCCCTGGATCTCAGACGGGACCAGCCCCTAGCAGCGAAGCAGCCATGCCCAGCAAAACTAGTACTTCAGGCGCGGGAGATTCTACTGGGTCCCCTGAATCTGATGGCGAACAAGATGGATCTGGACCTGGATCCAACAACAATGATGGCGAAAAACCCAGTTCTGTGCCGGCATCAATTGATGATGCTGGTGGTCAAGCCGGGTCGGGCCCAGGTGTTGTTCAGATGGCATCTGCTTCCACTGTCCGTCTAGGCTTGGCCGCGATGCTTGCTGGACTCTTTGCATTTGGGTTCCTATTTTAGGCTTCTACATATCCCACGAGATTGTTGGTGAGTTTCATGGCGCTCTTTTTATGTTAAGCAGTATGGGTGGTTGTCATTGCGAGTTCCGGAATTGTAAGTATTAGTTTTGATAGACGGCCCTCATCGGGTCAACCAGTAATTCTCACTTTCGCTCACCTTCCCTTTCCATTTGCCCTGGACTATTTGAAGCTCATGTTGTGTGTCTTGGGGATGCCTGGTGTCATTCAAAAGCGGGGGAGTTGGGTAGTTGGAAAGGGACAAGGGGGAAGCCACTGGCCAGAAACGCAAAGCCAAGCTCGTTTGACGGATGAGTAAGAGACCCTTTTTTCCCGTAACAGAGTGGCTTTTGGGATAACATCCTATCAGACCCGAGCAATTACTTGATTCTGTTTGAGATGCAAGCCTTCCCAGATCTTAAGCTAGACCCCTCTTGCTAAGCGAGCAGTTGAGCAAGCGAGCTAAGCGAATAAAACAACAAGAGGCGAAGCATGGCAGTGAGGGACCGATCCGGGAGCTTTTCTCCTTGTAAAAAGTCAAAAATCCTGGGAGAAGCACCAGCCTCCTTAGAGATATGGCGAAAACGCATCGGTTCAACTTGGATCGCTGGCGAATTGGCAAGCATAATGCACCGCTGAAGAGAGCATACTGGAGATTCAGAGGCGGGAGAAGATCGAAATTTTAAGAAAGACAATGGGCAAAGGCACTCGGGAAACAATTTGTGTGCTGGGCGCTGATGTGATAGCAGAGCTGAGCTGGAGCAGCCGACTGCATGGCGTAGGACATTTATTTCTACGAGCTTATATTCGTACGATAACCAACAGGAACGGGGATAATCAGAAATGGCCTTCGGAAGATGCGGCGGAACTTAAAAGAAGCGTCGGTGATTTTGATGTGCTAGGAGAGAAGAAATGCAATAGGTACTGTACCGGTATTGGAACATGGCCATGCGGATCGTATCTCTGGCCAGTAGCTGCTTGCAGATACATTTCCGCGACCCATGCAGATTCCTGCACGCAATGCGATGCGATGCGATGCGGCGACGCGGCGGTGCGAACAGTAATATCTCATCTCATCTTATCCTATCCTATCCCATCCCGCCATAACCCACCCAAAAGAAGAGGGAGAGGGTGCAAGCATGATACCAGGAAGGCTCTCCTCCTTTATTCCAATATCATGCCCGTTCCGGTACCCGTACCTATACCCGTACCCGTGCTGAGGTTGGAACCATACCGAGACGAGAGCCTTGCATGCCCGTCACTACCACGTATAAAGATAAAACAGGACGGAGATTCTACTTCGAAGCCTTTCCTCTTATCCCGTACTATCTCTTCTTCATCACTATCACTATCATCATCATCAGCATCATCATCATCATCATCAAGATGCTTCCATCAGCACGTACGCTACGTACGCTAGCCAGTTCTTCTCCTCTATTGGGCTCTCTCATAACTCCGTCTGAAGTTTCCGCGGCTGATAGATACTCAGAATAACATCCCCCGGGATCCCCGATCGCTCTCAGCTCACTGTGCTCATATGATACAAAAGCTCTAGCCTCGATCGCACGTTAGGCTGAGGATTGTTTGCGACGGCTCAGCAAATAATCGAGATGCGTAATATCGTTCTGTGCTTACTAATTGATCTAAAAAAGTGCTAGAATAAGCAGCGGAAAGAAAGAGTCTGCTTTAAACATTCTAGCATTATGTTTGATACTTTTTTTGGTCTGAATAAGAGTATGCCGTCGCCGGATATAAGCAGCCTTTATATAAGAGTAGACTTTATAACTAGCGATATCACAATGCTAGTATTATTAAGTGTTGAAAATGCCTACTAGGCTGCTCCATAGGGCCCCATGGGGCCCCACGGAATTTTGAGTCCTCCTTACGGGGGAACCTACGGGGGGTACAAAATTCTGCCCTCCTTATAAGGAAACCCTATAAGGCATAAGGTTTCCTTATAGGGTTTATATACATATAAATATGCATATGCATAATTACTAATTAGATTTACTAATCAGATTTATTAATCAGATTTACTAATTAGATTTACTAATTAGATTTACTAATGAGATTTATTAATCAAATTTAGTAATCAGATTTATTAAGCGAAGCGCTATTTTCTTTATTCCGCTTCGAGCTCGTGTTTTAAATATTACAATTATTCACCTTTATTGAATCGAAGCTTTGCATCGATTACGATCACGCGAAGCGTTCCTTTTTTGTTTCGCGTCGAGATCGTGTTTCAAATATTATAATTCACCTTTATTAAATTAAAGTATTGCATCGATTATCATTAAGCGAAGCGTTATTTTCTTTGTTCCGCGTCGAGTTTGTGTTTCAAATATTATAATTCACTTTTGTTGAATCGAGGTTAGGCTGCTCCATGGGGCCCTATAGGGCCCCACGGAGTTTTAAGTCCTCCTTACGGGGGAACCTACGGAGGGTACAAAATTCTGCCCTTTTTATTGTGACGACCTTAAGCGATTATTTAAAAGAACTCACGGGAGCGCGGGGTTCACATAAGAGCTTAAAAGAATCTTAAGATAATGACTTAGAATCAACAATTATTAAGTATAAAGGTCGAAAGTAGCTAAGGTTTATATATACGAAGGTAAAAGCGCTAAAGACTCGTAAATTATAGTTTATAAGTCAAAAGTAAAGAATAAGAAAATACGAAAGAAAAAAAAAATGAAAAAGCTTAGCGCATGTAAGATGCGTTTAAGAGATTTAGCGTATCGTTATATTACTTTCTCGTTTAAAAAAAGCTCGTCTTCGAGCGTTTATTTATTATTATATTATTGCTTAAGTGATCGTAATTATTAATACCGTTCGAATAAGCTTTAATCTATTCGAAAAGCTTCGTGAGAGGGCCGAAAAGCTTTTTGTGTTTTAAATAAAAGTCACGTATTTTAAAAGGAGCGTATATAAAGTCGAAAGCGAGGTATTAAGTAAAGTTAATATCGCGGCCGAGTTAAAAAGCGCGGTATTTAAAATGCTTTTTAATTTAGCGTACGGTTAAAATGTTTTTTATTTTATACTTAAGTTCGCTAATAATATTAATCGGGTCAAGTTAAAAAATGATTTGCTTAAAGGTTAAGTTATTAAAAGCTTTTCGTAGCCGTCCGAAGTAAAATATTAAATAAACTTTTATTAACTCGAAAAGCTTAAGTTTAAAGCTGCTATAAACGTTATCGGTAATTTCGAACGGTTCGTTCGTAAGGTTATCGAACTTTTTTAACGGTTTAAAAGTAAGGAACGGACGTATATTTAATTAAACTTTATTATTAACGTCGAAGTTAATCAAAGGCTTTGATTTATTAGCTTGTTTTGTTATGCGGTTTTAAGCGCGCTAAAAGTGCTCTTTAGCGAGGTTCTAAGCTTCGAGGTAGCGGTTAGCGTAAGCGCGAGCTTCGTTTTAATTGAGTTTGCGAAAAAAGGTTTAGTCGTTAAATAGTTTTAAGCTTTAATTTTAAATAGTGTGGAAGGGAAGAGCTTCGACATATACCCAACGTCAAATCAAAAGATATATATAAATATAGCTATAGTAGAATCGTAGATAAATAAGGAAGGAAAAGAAAGACGATCGAAGGACATTCGAATGTATGCTATAAGTACGTATATTGTATTATATAATAATATAGTGCTAGTTTAAAAAGAAACCAATTACTCGTTTATATAAGAGCTTGCACGTGACTTAACTACGTGCTTAATAAGGCTAGAGCATACAGCGCACTTACGTAATAAAAGTGCTTAGCATTAGTATTATATATATAAACAAAACAAATACAAGGTCTTAATTTTATTATATACGTCCCTTTTTCGAATCAGACTCGCCTTCGAGTCACTTCTTATCAAGGTGGTAAAGTTGAGTTTGCAAGATAAGTATATAGCTAAATTGCACGGTCGTAATATAGTCTTAAAGTATTACTTAATAATACATCGCCGGATCGGTATTAATATAAAGCGTATATAATATAATAAAAAAGATAAAAATAGTAACGAAAATGCAAGATAATCTTTTAAGTTTAACTTTTTTTTATATCTTTTATAGCTTTTTTATTTAATTATAAAAATAATATCAACTCGAGCGTTAATATTATCGTTAAGATAAGCGTGCGCCGGTTTGGGCGGTCAAGTAATAACGCATTGCCGAATCGATAATAGCGCAAGGCTTAAAGCGGTAACGTAATAAAGAAAATAAAAGCGGCAATATATATTTAAGATTTTATTATAAATAATCAATCTTTTTTTTATATTAATCTTATACTTTTTTATCTTTTCTTTAGCATTATTACTTAATAACTTTATCTTTTATTATTATATTTTCGATTTGTTTTCGATGCGTAAGCTACGCAAATAAAACTATCGATAATGCCGCGAATCGATGCATCTTTTCTTTCGATACTTTTATTAAATGCGAGCGTTGCTATGCTATTAAGTCAACTTGCATCCTCGTAAGTTATTTTACTTTTCGTTTTATATTCGTTTTAATTTCGATTCGATAGCTCTTTATAAAAGTCGTCGGTGCTAGTATAATTTTAATAAATACGATAACGGTTATAAATAATAAAATTAAAACGGCCGACGACGTTTTTCGCGAAAGCATAATTGCAAATAACCTTTTTATAAAAACCCGCCGCGCTTTTGCTTTTTAAGTTAATAATGCTTTTTTTTTTTTCGAGCTCGTATCGCCGCTGCTTTTTTTACCGCCGCTAATATTAAAGGTCTTTTAGCTAGCTTAAGTTTCGTTTCGGCGTTACGCTTACTTGCCGCCGCTATTACCGCCGATCTAGTTTCGCTAGACTTGCTGCGTTAAATCTTAGCTATAATAGATCGAAATAATACTTTGCTAAGTAACTTTTTTAGCCGTATAAATATATATTACGACCTTTTTATAATTCTTTTTCGATTTGATTACGATAGATTGCTAAAAAGTCTTCGATCTGCTTATTTTTATCTTCGCAATCGCTAGCACTTTTTTAAGCGAAAAAGCTCCGCTAAAGT